TTCATTTCTTAAATTCTACAAATAGGCCAAAGTGTGGCTACTTTTTTCCCCATTAGTAAATTACATCATCATTTCAAGATAAAATGTTTAAAACATTATTAAACTCAAAGCCATAAATTAATGGCTTTGATAACCTGTATTTTACCCAGGTTATCTTTGTCTAACATTCAAAATTAGTTTGATGATCTGAAACAGTGGGGCAAAATAGCAAAGACAAAAGAAACCTATCAGGGAGCAAATACTTTCTAACGACACAGTAAGTCATAACATACCAGGATGAATAGAGGCCTCTTATTGCTTGCTTGTCCTCGCTCCAGTGGTTTGGGTTGTCATACTTGCAGTATTTCCCTCTACAGCCAAGTGAACATTGCATATGTGGGGGAAAGACGCCTCGTATTGCTTCTCCTAAGAAGGTGTATTTTGCTTTGGGGGCTTTTACTGTCAGGGTGGAAGAAAAAGAGAGAAATCAGTTTAAACCAGTGATGTCCAAATTTTTTCCCCGTGGGGACCTAAATCACCAAGTTAGACAGTTGAAAAAGTTGAAATAAAAAACTAAATTTCTTGTGATTTTTTTTTTTTTTTTGCTTTTATCCATTCATTAATATATTTAACAAAATTAACTAATGAAACAGCCACGTTTCTTGTGGAGAAGTAGTCTGCAAATTGTTGCTGATCCAAAACATAAAAGACATGTATGTAATTTTTATGTCATTGGTGTCACTTGTTTTCATTTTAGAGCCAGAAAAATAAAATAGTCTCCGCTATAGCAACAAGAAAGGAGCACCCCAGAGCTTGCTGTGTTTAACCATGTTTAAAGGGGGGCGTGGACCTTATATTTACTAAATGATTTAAATAAAAGTACAAATATAGTTAAGACTAATACTTTGCATTATATCTAACATCTTTATCCTGTAAGATTTTATTTGTCTGTGAAAATTCTCACCCTAAAAAAAAACTGTTAATCTGGATTAGCTGGAGATGAACAGGCCACATTTACTCCAGTCTTAAAATTGTGATCTGGGTCAATTAAAACCATTGAGAGGGTTGCAAATGGTCCCTGTGCTGCATTTTGGACACCCCTTGTTTAAAACAAGGTTTGAGAACAAAAGTTACAAAACAATAATGTTTTATATCCAAGGTGGCCATTTTGGATTTTGAGGTTGGACCAACATAGAAACCTCTGATCTTCCAGTTTGAATTTTTAACTTTAAAACACTTCTATGATTCTCTTCTGTTTTATTGATCTTTGTAATAAAATACAAAAAAACTGAAAAAGTCCAAGTCTGGTCGCAACGTTGTCTAAAAACCTCTGTCCAGTGTGCTTGGAAAAATATGTATTTAGAGAGGTAATACTTGTTTTGAAAATAATTTTAGAACCACCTTGATCAACAGTTGTGGTGCTTAATAATTAAGGTCATCAGAAGTGAGAATTATCTAATCCTTGCGTTGGCCCTGCAAGTTCGTCAACAGGGCATTACAGTAAAAATAGCAAGAGATGCACTAATCAAGCATTTAGTGACTGACACAGATTTCTGCTTTGGTTTGAGGGTTAAAGAGATGATTCTAATTTTGGATGATCCCCACATATCCCTTTTAACGGTTATAAACTCATTTATGTAAACTTTATTTTCTTTAGCTAAAAATTAATCAACGTTGTCAGGTTCAGTGATAGAGGTAGTAGTTTTCAATCGAACAGAAAACGAGGAGATTGCAAGACAAAGTGGATCAAAGAACAAGATGTTTGTTGATGATTTAACAGACTGAAAAAAACATATTCAGTTTAGAGATCAAAAGTAAATTGGCCAACTGGCCAATAGATTGGGTCAACACTAAACATAGCTGCTATTCTAGTATGTTTCTATTTCATTTGTTTGAAATATTTTGACATGATAAAAGCACAGGTAGCTCTTGGGGATCATACTGAAGTCATTGGCTGGTATGTTTTCAAGTTTTATTTATCCCTACTTACTGTATTCCATCAGAGATTCTCCTCCCGATCTTCCATGGAATGCCATGCGAACATTCACTCAGACTGATGGTCATAGCAGAGCCTGGAAAACCAAAAGCGCTTTGTTATACTGTTTAGCACATTTTCTGATTTACATACAACAAATGCTGTTAAAATTGTACACAACAAGAGACAATTTTAACAGCATTCTCTGTGTGTAAGTCAGAAAATGTGTAAAACTATAAATTGGCTAAACACCAGTGTGAGGCTGCTAGCATTCTTTTATCAGCATCTAATTTTCAAGTATACCTGTGTTGCATTTTAAGCTAAAAGTGGCCATGATTCTCAAACCAATAGCTGGAAAAATATTAAGTCTTAAACAGAACAAACAGAACAAAATTAAAAGAAATACAAGCAAAGATTTACCTTTAGAACTTGGGAGGAGCTGCCAGTGGCTCCAACCTCAGAAGGAAAACTATCCAGTGCTCCAATTGTCGACTTTTCTGACATCATTTCTCAGAGCTCTGACGCTGTCCTTCCCACTTTGCTCTTTAAGAAGTCAATCTTGTGGCCTCATTGCCTTCAGATTATCTCCATGTCGTGAGACAGTGCGGCACAAGTGAAGCTATGGATTCGGACTCCTCTGTAAGAAGCCATGACAGATCAAGAGATCAAATCAACTGCAGAATGTGGAGAGACTGCTGGCATTTTGACTATTTTGCTTAGCACTGTGCTAAGGTTCTGCGTGTCTCTCTGACCCCCTGAGGACATTCTGAACCTATTTCTGACTCCTCCCAGATTAGACCACTAATCTCATTAGGTCAAGTTAAAGCAAAAATGTTCCCACTCTTCAAGAAAAATGTCAGATTTACATTTTTAAAGGGCTTGCTTACATTTTGGATAATTTTTTGTCACTTAGCCAAATGGTAGATACATTAGATTCTTAAATTATTTAATCAGATAAAAACATATTATTTACTGAACATGGCTATAATGATAGACATGACAGAAAGGTCGAAGAATTTCTTATATCAGCACACTAAAGCTGACCTAACAACTGCAATGTACAAATTGTGTCATCCTAGTGATGTAGCACATAGATCAAATCTCATTAGCTTACCTTTCACCTTACTAAAGCAGGTTGGCTTCAGGTGATTGCAAAGAGATCAGTTTACTAAGTAAAGCATTTTGAGATCTCAAAGCTAATAGTCCTCATGCAAATTCAAAACTCTGCTGAACATTTCATAATAATGAGGGGAAACATGACATCTAAACATGTTTGCACTTCAGTCAGAAACATGTTTTTTCTTAATGACAAAATAACAAGCAGAACTTTAGTATATTAAAAACCTTAAATCAGCTTGGAGATTGAAAGAATACCCTATCATTTTTTTTCCAGACATGGTAGTACAAAAACTTAATTTACATTCACTTTTCAAGAGTATATACCTTATCAAGACTTTTTCATATTATAACCATAAATGTTGGATCTTATTAGTATGAGTATCTGACTGACCGACACAAAGACGGGCATAACTGTAAGGTGAAAGAAAAATTATACATCCTTTTAATTTTTTTTTTCACAATACTTGGGGCGTATCTCTAACAGCATGGAATATCTACAAAATAATATTTCTGCAGATTCTTCTTTGCAAAATAGCTCAAACTCACTCATAGAAAACAGTTTCCCTGTCCCTACTGGACAAAAGCATTCTCTCATAACGATTCTGTGACCACTGGATTTAATATTTTCATTGTAATGTATAGTTTGTTTTCAATATAACGTTTTGTATGTGAACCATCAAGTTTGATTTTGATCTCATCTGACCAGAGCACTTTCTTCCACAAGATTAATGGATTTATTTTTGCCAGTCTGCCATACAGGTCAAGTTCATAGAGACTAATAGATTTTGTGTCAGCGGATTTAATCTCTGGAACTCCTCCAGGATAACATTAGCATCTTGGATGTTTCTTTAATTAACGCTCTCTTTTGCCTCGCCTACGAGATTAAGTCCATGGCAATGTTGTCTTAAGTTTGTTGTGGCAATTCATTCTGTTTTCAGATGAATGATTCAACAGCTCACCAGAGATGCTCAAACTATGGATATTGTATTACAACCTAACAATTTTTTCATTATCACATTATTTATAGTAATTATTTGTTTGATAATTTTATTTAATTGTTTCATTATTGGGCCTCCATAAGTTTCCACTAAGATTAATTTTGAAATAGAAAAGGATTCTCCAACAGATGGCGGCAGATATGCATCTGTCCACTGCTAAAGAGCCAATCTGCTCGTTCTATTTCTGCGACAAGCGGTTTTGTAGGAAGATTTCCGCGCTCCACATAAGCACGTCTCCAAGGCCTTGTGGGACATGAGTCCATATTGCGTTGCAGTCGTATTACTTCCATCTCGACAAGGACTACAATTCCCGAGAAGCCCTGCCAGAAGGTAGGAGACGTCTTTCCCAGCTGATTGCGTAGGTGTCTGATTTCGGCAAACTGACAACAAGCTAGTTGAAGTACCGGAAAAGGAAAGATTATGTTTTCAAAATAAAATTGATAAGTTATGCTGTTTTTGAAAGATTATTAACTATAGAAACAGTACATATGTATTTCATTAAGCTAGTGTTTTAATAGTGGTTTATTTTGACATAAACCTATATTTATAGTTTAAGTCTTCTTATGTACTGTCTGATTGCCTACTTTAGCCGAGTATACTCTTATTCTGAAAGCAGGAACCACAAGTTGTGTCCTCCCGGTCCTGTATTGGCAGTTGGTCGGGCTGAATCACTTCCACAAGCCGGTGGAGAGGTGAGGGGAAGCCTCAGCGCAACACTATGGAGCGTTTCTAAGACATAACAAAAAAGCCGGCAGAAGAAAATACAGAGAAAATTAAACAACTACATGACCAAAGAAGCTGGACCAGCACCAAGAAACGCAGAAATAATAACCATGCAATTTAAATACAGACGAATTTGAGCAGTCGCTGCTTCTTTCTTCAAGGTTACACCGCCCCTACGTCTTCTCGTCGCAGATCAGCTGGCGCACGTTGGTCGATAGAGATCATGTCCACGGAGGAGCAGGGATACCCCGAAGCTATGCTGCTGGAGGCCAGGCCGGAGTGGCTGCGGGCAGAAGTCGAGCGTCTTTCCCGGGAGCTGAGCGAGACAACCAGCGAGAAGATCCAGGCGGCGGAGTACGGGCTGGCGGTGTTGGAGGAGAAGCAACAACTCAAGCAGCAGTATGACGACCTGGAGGTCGAGTACGAGGCTGTCAGGCAGGAGCTGGACCAACTGAAAGAGGTAGAACATAAAAAAGAAAAAAAAGAAAAAAAGAAAATTCAAATCATCACATAACTAAGGGTTTATTAACCATACATTCTAATGACATTTTAATCTGTTTCACTTTTTTTGTTGTTGATTGTGGCAGTTTCATGTTATATATTTGTGCGCAAAAAGAGATATCACATTTGAATATGCACTAGAATCATTCTACAAGGTCAAAACTGTAAAGGGGAGGTGGGATGCTTGCTTCTACTGTGGGCAGACCCCCGCTTCCCCTTCATGCTCAGGGAGTCCCCACTGCACTGCCACCTTTATTTATTTATGCAGCTCCTCGTCCTCAAGTCTTTCTCACAGATAAGCCTGGTATGTTTCCACAACCTGCTCTTTAATCATCATGAGTGGATTTGCTAAGTGTGCTGTTGGGATCACTGTCATAGGCAGTGATCTGGGTAATGTGGGACAGTTACAGGTAAAAAGGTATGCCAAGATTTTGATAAGTTAACAGGTTCAAAAATACTACTAACCAAGGGTATCATATTAGCCCACGCTTCAGATTTTGTTGCTTTGTGTTTTGTGGAGAGTGTTTAAGATACAAAAACAGAAGTTCTTCAGTGTTAATTTTGTTATTTTCCTATATTTTTGGACGTCCTCATTTTGTATCCAACACATTTTAAGGTTCAGGTTGTCAGTTTTAAAGCTTGTCAGGTTGTCTTCTGAGCTCACTCAGCCCGTGGAAACAAGAAATTCTGGTTCGGTTGAGAAGGGCGGGAGCAGGTTTGAATTTTGAACCTTCCCGCTCACATGTGAACAGCTTACAGCTGACGCCAGAAGAGTTACAACCCTGTGGGAATGGAAAGAATGCTGAGCGGTGTGGTTAAAAACGGCCTTGAGAGCCTGATAAAGGATGTGTCTGTTTTTTCCTGGACAGTAGTTGAACTTATTCCCCCTCTATCGGATCATGCTGCTTCCAATTTTCTTCTTCCAGCAGTAATTTGTCGCTGGGTTGTAATTCAGACAGGGAGAAGTGTGCTGCTCTCAAATGTGGATCTTGTGTCACAGTTTATGGAGATTCAAAAAAAAAACAAAAAACAAATTCCAGATTTGGGATCACTGGCTTGTTCATGGTTGCTCATATCCTCCTCTGATTTACTCATTTCTCCTGTGTCCTTTCAGTCAGAACAGAAACCAAAGCTAACTTCGTGGTGCTCGCCTTTCTTTTTTTTCTTTGCCAGAAATGTGTTCCACGTCTCTGGGTTTTTTTTTTTTTTTTTTGAGGCTTAAAAGGAATATTTTACAGCCCTCTGTTCCTGCTGCTTTTCTCAGTCTTCCGGTGGCCATCTCTCTTGAGGTTTGTAAAAAAGAGAGAGAGGAGGTGGTGTTTGGGCTGTCTCAGCTACTGCTGCACAATTTTCCCATGTTTTGCGTGAAGGTCTCACTATATAGCAGAGGAATGACAACAAAAAGTTCTAGATAGAAGATGCTAGTCAGAAATTGTCTTAATGGTTATAACATGGCTTTAACTGATGTTGGTAGTTTTTTTTTTTTTCCTTTTATTTAGAAATACACTCAAAGAAATCTTTATAAAGAATCCAAAAGTTTGTTTGGTTTTAGGTTTTTGGGATAAGTATGGAGGAAGGAAACAGATTGTAGAAATATATTGCTATCCAGCTGTTCATCATTTCATCTGTCCATCCAGCTGTTATTCCATTTCATAGTGAACTTTTGTATCTATACTTTTTAAAATGTCTAAAAATGAATAAAACTTGGGAAATTTGAGGATGAAATATTGTCATGATGTTTGAGCCAAAAGGCTAGTTTTTCCCTTCTCTTCTAATGTGTCATACGGGAGTCCAGCCTTCTGCCTGTGGTTAATGAAATCAGTTGTTTGCTAATAGCTGTGGCAGAGATTTTTTTTCTCTCTCTTTTGCCACTGGCTCCAGCTGCATTGGGTGGAGATATTTCAGGAGATCACATCTTTGATCCTTTATTCCTCTGCCCTGGCCCTCAGTTCAGCGGTGAAGGGCAGACATGATGCTATCGCAGGAGAACCACAAACACATTATTCAAACATCCCCCAACACTTCCTCTGCACTGCTGAGCGAAGTATCACAGTTGTGGAAGACAAAAACACCATAGAAATGTTCAACATTATTGCTGGGTTTCTGTCCATTGCAAATATTCCCGCTTCTTTACCTTCATGTTTTACGTGAAGGTGTTTCTGTCTGTAAGGTTGTCTGCAGCTGGACGATTTACACCGACAACAGCAATGTCTGGAAGTGACTGCTCCTTTCTATCCAGACTTAATGAGTTGCTTAACACCCAATCTCATCGAGCGACTGTAAACCTTTTCCCTCGCTTGCTGGCATGCACAAACAAAGTAAGTCATTCAGGATTGTAAGAGTTGGTCCTGCTTTAAAAATGCCAACATGCCTCTCTACTTCCTTGTGGATAAAAGCGCCAGAAATCACTAGGACATGGGTAAAGTTTTGATGAATAGCCAGTTTTCAGCCTCTGGGCCACATTGCTCTTGTTCTCATGTACCACACCCCCCTCCATACAACTCCTGTGGCAGGAAGATGGGGAAACGCTGTGCATTGCTGTTGCCTAGTAACGCCCGTCCTCATGGTTTAATTTGAGCAGCCGTTCTGCTTCTTCAGCTTGCTGCAGTGTGAGAGTGTTTGTAGGTAAAGGCTGAAGGATTTAAGCAAAGACTTAGCGGGAAAATTGAATGTAAGTAACACAGATGAGGCAAACATGTCGCATCAAGTCGGGATGATTTCTGATGGTTTTTTATCGGTTTGCCTGTTTTTTTTTTTTTTTTACTTCACATAGTCCATAACACTGGTGTTTTTTGCTGTTGGGAATATGCTGCTACACACATTGATCCCACCAGTCCTTTCCTTAATTTCTTGCTTCCTCTAACGCTCTGCAGTTGCTTGGCTGCATGTGATGTCACCCCCTGTGGCTTTGTAGTGCAGACCCACTGCAGTATTCCAGTAAAGTGATCCCCCTCCTGCTTTATACTCATTACAAACCTTAGTCCAGTGCTACTTATTGGATGCAGGGACAATGAAAAGCTTAGGTGTTGCTGTTCTTTCCAGAAGTATATGTACCCCTTGAACAATTTTAAGCCTTATTTGAAATAAAAATCTGAAAAGTGTGGTGGGCCTATGTGTTCAGCACTCTCTTTCCAATAATAGCCCTAAAAAAAAAATCCACTGAAAGAAATTGCAAACAGCATCACGAAGACCTAGAACCATTTTAGAGGGTCAAGGATGAAGTTGTGGCATGTTCCACTGTATCATATGAAAAGGAAAAGAGCATGCCAGCATTGCAAATTTACAAATGTATGGGTGGACACCCACTTACAGGCTGGACAAGGAAAGCATTAATCAGAGGAAGCCACAAAGAGATCCATGCTAACTCAGGAGGAACTCCAGAAAGTCACATCTCCGATGGAAAAATCTGTTAAGACAACCACTAGTCATCTTCTCCATAAATTTGGACTTTATGGAAAATAGGCAATAAGGATGGAATTGTTGACAAAAGGGAAGATGAGAGATTTCAGTCAGATGAAAGCAAAATTCAACTTGGAGGCCTACATGTAAAATAATATGTTGGGAAAACTGACAGAGCTAGATCTCTTTTTACATAGACAGAAGTGAAAGAAATCACTTTCCCTTTCTGTAGTTAAAGGTACTTCTGTAGTACAGAATCAGCTAGACTGGACAGATGGCTTGGTGAAACACTGCATTTTTCTTTTTCTTTTTAAAAACAATGTTTAAAGGCTAAGAATACATTGTATATCAATTTGAAGTATTTAAAATACCAAATTAAGATATTTTGGCTGCTGATTGAGATGTTTCTCAGTAGTGGAAACATTGTCTACTGAGCCAAAGGTCTAAGAGCAGCATAAGGTGGTGTTCTCTCAGTTTTTAGTCATTATACCTTATTTTTGCCTCCACATATGTCCAACCACATGTCTCTGCTCTTATGCAGTTCAGAAGGACCTACAAGCTGCTGTGACTTAGGGGGATTTTTGTATTTGAGGTACTGGTCCTGACGTTCAGCCCTCTTGTCTTTCTTGGTATCTCTGAAACACTGTGACCACGAAGACGTCATCTTCTCCCCAAAGACAGAACGGCTATTATGTGTGCCACAGTTTTCGTTTCTTATTTACTTGTTCTCTGCTCCTGGTTCCATTCAGCCTACTGTCTCCAACTTAAACAAAAGCCTTCAGCATTGTATGTCTGAGACCCACACAGCCGGTCTGTCTTTTCTTCTAAACTCCCTTCCAGTTCTGGTGTCCAATCAGTAAGGCGGCAGCTGTACAATGCAGTGTTGAGGTCAACCAGAGAAACACGAAAAATCATGAACCAATGGCAGGCCTGGAGCCTTTGTGACTTTTTGCCTGTAGCCCATTGGGGTTAAGTAGTGTCACAGATGTAGAGATGGCTTGGTGAAATGAGAGGACTGTGTATAACAAAAGGAATATTGAGAGAGTCATTCCATTGTGGTTACATTTAAAAGGTTTGTCTTCTTTAGTCCCTTTTGAAATGGGAAACAATTAAAGGCTAAAAATCCCAGTGTCTCCGAACAAAACTCTCTGACTCTGATGTTAAATGGTTTGGATGGTGATTGGATGCCAGTGGAAAATACAAGAACACAAAAGTATCTGGTCTTTGTTTGAAGTGGTATAAATAAAGCCAATGTCCTTTTGTGGAATTGTGAAGTCACTCACTTTCTTTTCGATTCTGTTTTTCACTTCTCTGTTTGGACTTTACAAACCAACCATCCCCAAAACTTTCAGAACTCCTTATTTCAATTATTATTATTATTATTATTATTATTATTTACTTTCTGGGCCTTATTATTGTTCTGGTTGAAATTTTTCAACCAGAACAAAGCTTCCAACATTGTTTTGGGCAGCCTGATCTACCCTTTTATCCATGATTTTATTTTGCCAGAGAGCAAGGCTGCAGTTAAGGGGTAATCTTTTCTAAATGGCACTAAATAAA